CTTATCTGTTATTGTCTAAATGGAATGTAGATCCTTCTGGGGGAGAAATCTTTTTATGATTCGATTATGGCTTCAAGGAAGGTTGGCCCTTCCTGCTAGGTCTTTAGTTATTTAATTTTGGGCTGGGGTGGAGAACTCTTGATTCTTCCTGCTATGTTTTAAAAAAATTTTAGGTGAGCCCATTCTTACTATAATTTAATCATATGCCTTGATTGCTGTTAAGATAAACTATGGTAGGGTGAGACAAATGGGAAGCTTTGACTTCCTGCTGACATGGTGGGGGGAAGAATTTGATTTCCTTCTCACACCTACTCATGTCCTTTTTCCTGATTACTAATTTCTGCATCTCCTCTGGCTGGAAAATTGTACAGACAAAAATAGGAGATCTAAGTTTACTTGGAGAAAAAACACCCTGGATGCTGCAAAAAATGGAAGCATACTGTATTTTGAAGCATTGACCTTTGTTTCCATGGGAAACTCTGCAGTCCTGTGCTGCCCCATACTGATTGCATAGCAGATGAATGGGAAATTCCAGACTAAGATACCAGAATTCTGTGCCAGAAATATTTTCAGCACCTTTTCATAATAGCAGGCCACTTTGTCATGTTTTCATAGTAGTGAACTTTATATTTGCTTAAATGGGGCTTAGTCCCAAGTAAATATGCATCGGTCTGCAGCCTAAGTAGTAGCTTCCTGTCTTGTTGCCACATACTTCAGACCAGTTTGGGCTTGAGTCATGGGCAGATTTGGGATTCAAGGTTCAGTGCTTTGTAAGAACCTATATAAGTATGAATTCTGCTTCACTGGCATATATAAGCTGACATGTATGCATATAGATGTGCATAGAGATGCCAGAATGATATTTTCAAAGTTGTGACATACATGAAGAAAAATTATAGACTGTTTTTGCTAAGCTACTCTTAGTAGCTTTTATTTATTTATGTATGTATGTATTTATTTATTTATTTTGCAGAACAAAGTAGGTTCCTGAGCCAAGTATCAGGGCATTCACTTAAAAAAAGTAAGACTGCATAAACTGTGAACATACCCAGTTCACAGTTTGGGCTACTAATACTTATTAACTGGAAATAGCTATATTCAGGGGAAAAAATCCCATCAGTTGTTTCACTTGGTTTTAAAGTTTTCAAAAGGTCAAATACTAAAAATGAATAAACATGATTTTAAAAGCAATATCTGAAATTGTGTGTTTGTTATAGTTTCTATATTTTTTAATTTCATTAAATATAAAATTGGTTGTATTTTTGTTTTTTTAAAAAATAAGATTATAACCTGAATTTCTTTCTCTCTGCTTATTTGCTTTTAGAGTTGACAATTTCAAGAGAGTTTGGGCATTGGGTTGTTGAAATGTTGCTCCCTCTGGTATTATTATATTTGTTGTGGGGGAAATTAAGTGATGTTATTGGTGTTTATGTTAAAATATTTTGGAATGTTTTTATCTTTATTTTATGCATGGGCATTATTAAGCAAATTACTGATATGGAATATATATGCAACTCAGAGTTGTTGATGACAGGAGTTATAGGTTGTTCCAATCAGTAAATAAACAACTAAAAAGCCTAAATAAAAATGCATAGGAAACAGTGTGTGTTCTGTACATAATTCCAATGTGCTCCCAATGGTTCACACCTTTGGTAACCATTTGCACTATATTCCATGCAAGCTAAAATTGTCAAAAGCAGTTCAAAATGGATTAATCACATGCCTGAAACCACATTACTTATTTGCGTTTTATTAAAATAAGGGAAGAAGGAGGAGTACAATCTATAAGATTTAAAGCTGGGATAAACACCATTAAAATGTAAGCATAGTTTTGTCAGTTCTTAAGCTTTTGCCTGCTTTGTGCTGCTCTTACAATGTATTTCTTTTATTTTTTTCCCCATCCTGAAGAATGGGAGAGGACAAAGAGGAAATCATGCTTGCCTTCTGGAAACACCATATGCTACTGGATAAATTAGAACTTTTCATTGACAAAGTGTTAAATAGTAGGATAATCTGCTGTGGAGTTTAATTCAGCAGAGTTGATCATAGTGTTCTGCACATTTTGCAATAAGGAACACCTGTAGGACATTTTATTGATGAAAAGCACAGCAATCATATATGGCATTTCAATCATTTTTTTTTTAAACTCTCTTGGAGAAAAACCATAACTGATGAAAGGTTAGAGGTTTTAATAAGGGTATGAAAGCATATGGCAGATGGGATGGATTAGGACTCAACAGTACAGTAATCTAAATCATTGCTGCCAAGCATTATAAAAAACTTCATCTCCTGCTATGTTTTTCTAAGTTTATATCCAGAAAGAAAACTGCATCAACAAAGTGCTGTTGGTATGAAGAGTTAATAAGTGCTAGCTCTGAAACTGTTCCCTAAAAATGACTGGGTCTGAAGAACAATTCAAAAATTCATCTTCCAGTCAGGCTTTTTTAGATAGTGTTTGTTGGTTCATAATTATAATCACCGTAGAATCTTATGGTGGGCTTCTGAACCTTTCCTTCTTTCTGACTGTCTTCAGACTTCTAAAATAATCTGGTCAAGGGTTAAGGATGCTGCTTTTTATGGAGTAAATATGGAAGTCCTTTTCTGAGCCCAGAATTTGCTAGATGGCCTACATGTCCAGGAGATTCTGTTATTGCTATAACAACCATACTTACACTTGTTTACTCCCACTTTTATACTTACACTATTTGATTCAGTGCCCCTTTTATGGGGAAGGGTTCTATTAGCTTTGCTGTAATTCTATGATATTTTCAGGTTGGGCCATGAAATACTCTGAATTGCATAAATGGGGTTTGGATCTTGGTTAATCTTAGTTTGGTCATTGTGTTAACAATGGATTCCCTAGGACCCTAAATGTCTTTGAACAAAGGGTCATACTTGGCCTGTAATAGGTGTGCCGGGGTCTGTACTGCAAAAGGTAAATTGGATAGGAGCACAGCAAACAATTAAAATCTAAACTTAATTATAATTATATTAAATTAATGAAATATAATTAATATAATGGGTATTCAACAAGTTACTCCAGTTCTGTTACCTTAAAAAAATACAATTCAGTGGAAGACTTGTGTGTCTACATGCGGTCCTAGGGCACAGATAATGCAACATCTTAAGAACTTGCCGCCTACTTCATCTGGTCCATATATTCCATGTAAGAATGCTAAGGATCCTCCTTTCCCCTCAAAAAAATGAGATTTGGGAGAAATCTAGAAAACAGGGTTTTTCCATTGTGGCACAAACCCTCTAGAATAGTCTAGTCTATATGGCATTTCTCTCATTTTTAGGAAAGCTGCGAAAATAGAGAAGCTAGGAGAGCTTTCGGTAGTTAAGACCAAGATTGCCTAATAATAAATGTAATGTCAGTGAGAGTAAGCATTTTAATTAAACTTCTGTTATTTTGTTTACTGAATGGTTTTATTGCTGTGGTAGGTTGTAAATTGTCCTGAGCACTCTAACAGTATGACAGTATAGAAATGTAGTAGTAAAACAGACTTCTACTTTAATATATATTGTACCAAATGTTTCCTGCAGTCATTATCTAAAATAATTTAATTTGCCAAAGTTTATTCTTTTCAGTTCTTTAATTAAGAGACTGGGATTCATGCAATTAAAACGATGTATTGTGAATCACTATTGGATGTTCTTTGTGGCTCACACACTATCTTCTATTATGGCCAGTATGCTGGTGGTTATTATGAAATCTTCCAATCTAAAAATCCAGTATGATTTTTAGTTGTTTTTTTATTATTATTATTATTATTATTATTATTATTATTAATAATAATAATAATAATAATA